CCCTGGATATCCTCTACCATTGAAATACCCTTCAAAAAAGCTGATTTTTTTTAGTGCAGTTCGTCGTTGTTACGAACGATATTATACTGGACAACTAGAAAGAAGAAATTGTGAAGAAAATCTTCCATTTTTGTCTTGTACGAACCATGGAAGCAGTCGCGGACGATCCGTACTGTACGAATCTGTCCAGAGAGCCAAGTCGCCCGGTGACGTAATTTTGGCATTTCGTCTACGAAATTATGTCCAGAGAACCCATCGTACCAAGGACGAAATTTGCGATCGTCCAGGCGATCAGTGTTAATAAATATGGATTTTAGATATTTTAGGAATTCATTATTGAGGAGAGAAAAACGAGAAAAGGCAAAGAGAGAAAGAGAAAGGAGAAGAAGAAGAGAAGAGCTTATATTTGGAGGCCACCGAAGCGACTTTTCGTACGACGAACAGACTTTACGAAGATTGTCTGTCTCAGCTGTTGAAGCGACTCATCAACCACTATTTCTGTTTCGCACTAGATTTGCACTAATATTATAACGCAGAATTGATGCCACGTTTGTGTCTCTTTGTAGCTCGAAACTTTATTACCCTAATTTATCATTCGACACTGGACCTTCAGGGCCCGCCCACACTTAGTATGTTATAGATATGAATATTGACACGATTTGACTATTTTCTACGATGATTTATCAGTCGCGAATTTGCATTCTTACGCGATTTTAATTGAATAGAAATTATCAGTACTTGCATGTTGATTTGGATTCTGATTAGAATTGATAGTCTTGACAATTTGAATGCCAGTGTTAATATCTTTAGTAATTGGAGAAATTATCAGAATTATGTCTTTTCGCAGGATTTTTGTGTTAAAATTGCATAGACTGACGTGTTACTCTGCCCGATTTTGTATGTATTCTGATTTGACGAAATGTATAGATTGAACATATGCCGTCATGAATTAATCGGATATGATTGCTCAATATTTGATATTGAATGCCTTATTGCATACTGAAACACGTTATAACCTGTTGAACATTGTTGGAGATGCATACCTGTACAGCGATGTGGGCCGACGGGCTTTCCTTTAAATTCATAGATCATGGATCCATGATATAACGATGGGAGTCATTAAGGGATATATGCCGACGGGCAATTAGAGTGAACGACTCTTTTCATAGAACACAATGTATTGATACATACAACAGCCAAATAATCTACAACGAGCACATGACCATTGATTATTCATTGTTTCGATTTATCGTATGATTGCATGTTTAATGTATTGATTTACGGATTTTACTGGATTTGATCGGGTTACTGTCGTACGATTTCACCTGATTTCATCGATTGACTATCTGAACATTTTGATACTATCTGTAGCCATTGATAGGACATTAGTATAGATCATAGATACTGTATTGATAGCATGAACCATGGGACATGTTACTTACTGTCCTATACTGTTTCTGCTACCGTATGACTGTCGTATAGATTCATTGTTCCGTATTGGCTTTTCTCGCACTGATTTCATTATTTTGACGCTATTGATTTGTATTGACGGATATTGATATTGATGTGAATTGAAATTGATGATTTGCCTTGAGCTGCCATCTGACTGGTTTTTATGACTATTGATTTCGGCATTAGCATTGCACTCTACTTGATTTGATTTCCACTCCAAGACCAATATTGACCATTGACTGGGTAACCGACACCCTATAGGAGAAGGAACTTCAGGGCCGTCCCTAGAAGAACGTATCAGAAAAATGGAGGAATCTCAGAATGAGATTCTTCAACTTTTAAGGAGAGCTCGAGGACCAGTGCCGGCACCCCAAGAAGATACTCTTCTCCCTCCAGATCAGCCAGGATTTGAAGACATTCTTCATGTCGAAGTCCCCCTTATTCCACCAAGGATGCGTCCTCCTACACGTCCAGAGAATGAGCTTGCTGATACAGCAAGCTCTACCCATCCTTCGCGCATGAGTCACCGACAGCATATGCTGCCGGACGTCCCCGAGGACTTGGACCAACAGCATGTCACTGAACTTCCCCGTAATACTCTACGGCATGAGTTACGGAGACTAGTCCGAGAAGAGTTCCCCACAGGGGGTATCAGGCAGTCCCTTCATCAACGGGACATTCAGGAGTCATCACCTTTCACCGAAGCTGTCCTCCGATATCCCGTTCCGGCAAGATTCAAACTCCCAAGTATTGATTCTTATGATGAGACTTCATACCCCTATGAGCATATCGACCACTACCGCACTATTATGCATATCCAGCAGGCCCCAGACGCTTTGCTCTGTCAAGTTTTTCCTGCCACCCTTAAAGGGCAGGCCCGAACATAGTTTTACTCCCTACCCCCTCGGTCCATTCCCCTATTCGTTAAATTGGCCAAATTATTTGTCGAACAATTTTTTACCAACCGAAGGATGATTAAAGACTCCTCCCACCTTTCGGGGATACGACAGAACGAGGGTGAATCTCTCAAAGAGTATTTTCAAAGGTTTTCTACAGAAGCCCGACAAATTCCAGGGGTAGATCCCGAATTGCTACGAGGTGTATTTCTTGGAGGGCTTCGTCCAGGCCCTTTCTACTCGGCACTTATGCGAGAAACGGTCCATTCTTATGCGGATTTAATCCATCGAGTAGAGGCCCAAATCACTGTCGACGAAGCCATCAATGCTCATAGGAAGCAATTCGAGCAAGCAACCGGGAAGCGAAAAAATCCCCCAGGGACGGAGAATCCCCCCTCGCAAAGGAAGAAGCAAGGAAAATACAATCTTCCTCCTCGACCCTCACAGCCTAGACAAGAAAAAGAGTACACGCCACTTAATACATCCCGAGCAAATGTATTAATGGCCATCCGAGACCAAGAGAGTGTAAAGTGGCCGTACCCTTTAAAGCCTAATACCGAAAACCAAGAACAGTATTGTCATTTCCACCGCAGTCGTGGACACACCACTGAAGCATGCAGGCAGCTCAAGGAGGAAATTGAGAGACTGATCCGACAAGGATATCTCCGACAGTTCGTCAAGAATCCAACAGCTCGAGAAGAAACTGTTCCAACTGGGGGGCAAGATCAACAAAAACAGTCGACGAACAATCGCCAGATGGTCGGCGAAATTGAAACTATTGCTGGAGGCCCTTCAACGCCTTGTCAAGTTCTAATCGCAGAGAACAAGGAGCCACCAACAAAAAAGCTTCATGTCGATCACTCCATCACCTTCAAGGAGTCTGATCTAGAAGGTGTAAAGACTCCTCATCAAGACCCACTGGTGATTAGCGCAGGAATTGGCGACCCATGCTACAATATTAAAAGGATCTTGGTAGATAATGGAAGCTCAGTAGATGTTCTATTCTACTCTACTTTTCTTAGCATGGGCCTATCTAGAGAGAAACTCCAGCCTGCTGCCGGTCCACTGTACGGATTTGACAACCGGCCTGTAAGAGTCGAAGGAACTCTCCCAGTCATACTTGGAGAATTCCCCCGTCAAGTTGAGCACCCCATTATGTTCATTGTAGTGAAGTCCGAATCAGCCTACAATGCAATCTTTGGAAGGCCACTCCAAACAATCTTCGGGGCTGTTGCTTCAATTCCCCACTTAAAGCTCAAGTTTCCTACCCCATTGGGGATCGGAACGATACGAGGAGATCAACAAGTAGCACAATCGTGCTATCTTAGGAAGGCTCAACCACACTCATCAGTTACTCTAAGCATCGAAGACTTCGATCTTTGGAATGAAGATATCCCTCAAAGGGCCTCCCCTGTAGAAGATCTTACCTGTGTCTCCCTATCAGAAGAACATCCCTCGATAACAGTACAAATCGGATCACTCCTCTCAGATACAGAGAAAAATGAATACGTAGACTTTCTATGTACAAATCAAGATGTATTTGCATGGAGTTCGGCTGATATGCCCAGCATTAACCCTGAAGTAATTATGCACTCCCTCAAGATCAACCCAGCGTATAAACCAGTGATTCAAAAGAAACGAAACTTCGCCCTAGAATGTCAGCTGGCAATCGAACAGGAGGTTGATAAGCTTTTAAAAGCAAAATTTATAAGGGAAGTGCACTACCCAACTTGGCTAGCCAACGTCGTGATGGTTCGGAAAATAAGTGGAGCTTGGAGAATGTGCGTGGACTATACAGATCTCAATAAAGCTTGCCCCAAGGATAGCTTCCCGCTCCCCCGAATAGACCAGCTAGTTGACGCCACATCCAGACATCAGATGTTATGCTTTATGGATGCCTACTCCGGATACAACCAAATACAAATGGATCCTGCCGATGAGGAGGCAACATCTTTTCAAACATATAAAGGGTTATATTGTTACCTGATAATGCTATTCGGGCTCAAAAATGCAGGGGCAATTTACCAACGACTTATGAAAAAGATTTTTAAGAACCTTATTGGACGTACAATGGAAGTCTATGTGGACGACATGCTGGTGAAGAGCCTCGAGAAATCTCAGCATATCTCGGATTTGGAAGAATGTTTTAGCCTCCTCCGATCTTACAACATGCACCTCAACCCCTCTAAATGTGCATTTGGAGTCACCTCAGGAAAGTTTCTGGGATTCATGGTTACCCACCGAGGGATTGAGGCCAACCCGGAAAAGATCAAGGCCCTAAGGGACATGCTACCCCCCAGAAATATCAAAGAAGTTCAGAGACTGAATGGAAGGATTGCAGCACTCTCTCGATTTCTGGCTCGTTCGGGAGATAAATATTTGCCTTTCTTCAAGATCCTCAGAGGGGCTCGTAGCTTAGGATTCCAATGGACTGATAAATGCCAAGAGGCTTTTGAACAACTCCGTACTTATCTAGCTTCACCACCGCTACTCTCAAAGCCAATTCCATGGGAAATTTTGTATATGTTCATGACTGTCTCTTCTCAGGCTATAAGTTCGGTCTTGGTTCGGATGGATGATTCGATTCAACGCCCAGTCTATTACATCAGCAAGATACTTTCAGATGTTGAAATGCGTTATCCATTGGCAGACAAAACAGCCTTAGCATTAGTCTTCTCAGCCAGGAAGTTACGACCTTATTTTCAGGCACACGCGATCAGGGTTTATACAAACCTACCGCTGAAAAATATTCTTCAAAAACCCGAGGCATCCGGAAGATTGATCAAATGGTCAGTAGAACTTGGAGAGTTCGATATACAGTTCCTACCTAGACCCGACATCAAGTCACAGGTGCTTGCCGATTTTGTGGTCGAATGTACTAGCTACACCTCCGAGGGATCACCTGATGTGTCTCCATCCTCCTCCTGCTGGACATTGTATATAGACGGAGCTTCTGGGAGTTCTGGTGCTGACACTGGAATCTTATTAATCTCCCCACAGAAAGCCACACTCGAATATAGGCTTAGACTAAAGTTTCCGACAACAAACAATATTGCTGAATATGAAGCTTTAATCGCTGGGTTGAGATTGACGATTGATTGCGAAGTCCAAGGCTTAGTGGTTCACACTGATTCCCAACTGGTTGCTTCTCAAGTAGAAGGGGAATTCGATACTCACAATCCACTCTTGGCTCAATATTGCCAGATAGTTAAAACCTTGTTGGCCCAAATAGCAAAGCATCAGGTCATCCATATTCTTCGAGAGCAAAACGCAAGGGCAGACTCTCTCTCCAAGCTAGCAACTTCTACAACGGGAGATGTTTTTAAATGAAAATTTATTGAGGAGATCCATTTCCCGAGTATTCAAGGCTCATGGGTACTTCAATCAATAGATAAATCAAAACAAACTTCTTGGATCGATCCCATTCTCGCTCTCCTACAAGAAGGATCTCTCCCTGAAGACCCAGTTATGGCAGTACGACTTCGGAGACAAGCAGCCAACTTCACCATTATTAACGGAGAGTTATACAAACGATCTTTCACGGGGCCATACCTCAAATGCCTTCCTCCTTCGGAGGCAAACTATGCACTTCGCGAAGTACACTCGGGCATTTGTGGGGAACATTTGGGAGGAAGGGCGCTAGCACAAAAGGTTCTGAGACAAGGGTTCTACTGGCCAACGATAAAACAGGACGCATTAGAACTCGTACGGAAATGTAACAGCTGTCAGTTGCATGCCAACCTCACTCATCTACCCGCCGCAGAGACATCGACATTACAGAGTCCCTGGCCTTTCGCCCAATGGGGGATCGACATAATGGGACCATTTCCTATAGCCACGGGACAGCGAAAATTCATCATATTAGCTGTCGACTATTTCACGAAGTGGGTAGAAGCAGAACCACTAGCAAAGATCACTGAAGCAAATGCCAAACAGTTCTTATGGAAGAACATAATATGTCGCTTTGGCATTCCTGCAAAAGTTATTACTGATAACGGAACACAGTTCACCGGAAGGGTCTTTACGACATTTTGTAAAGATCTACACATTCATCTAATAAACACGGCTGTGGCTCATCCTCAGACAAATGGACAGACAGAAGTCACTAATCGGACCATTCTGAGAGGACTGAAAACACGGCTGGAGAAGGCTGGGGGGCAATGGGCTGACGAGCTCCCAAACGTCCTTTGGGCCTATCGTACGACAGCAAGGACTCCAACAGGAGAGACGCCGTATAACCTTTGCTTTGGTACAGAAGCCGTCATTCCAGTCGACATTGGAGTCCCCGGTCATAGAGTACAAACTTTCGACTCCAATGCCAACGACGAAAAACTCAGACACAACCTAGACCTCCTTCTAGAAGTAAGAGCGGGGATAATACTTAAGGTTGCTGCCTACCACCAGAGAGTTGCCCGTCACTATAACAGAAGGATGAAGCCGCGGCATATATCAGTAGGAGATTTGGTTCTACGCAGCATTGAGGCGGCATGCAAAGGCCCTCAACGAAATAAACTCTCCCCCCTCTGGGAAGGTCCGTACCTAGTAGCAGCTATGGTGAAGCCAGGGACTTTCAAATTAAAGGATGCTGAAGGGAAGATGCTTCCTCGAACTTGGAATATCGATAACCTCCGCAAATACTATCAGTAGAGCGTGATCGTGTCGTTTGTTTTAGAATATCGTATGTCTTTCGTATTATATGTTTATTGTATGTATCTTTAATTTCGAACGTTGTTTGTGATGTTTCTAGTTTCCTTCTCCCTTGAACTGTCTTTGGGAGCTATGTTCTTCGTTTAATGGCAGTAAAGACTTTGTTAAGTTATGAACCTTAATATGTTTGATTCGAGCAGTAGATGAATATTGTTCAATTGTTAGTTGATCAATCCTTGGTGGATTCTCCCGACCTCTTCCACACAGGTTAACGTCATCGAGCAGGGCTCTGAAATACAACCTCGGATAGGTCTTACATCCTTGGTGGATTCTCCCGACCTCTTCCACACAGGTTAACGTCTTCGAGCAGGGCTCTGACACAACCTCGGATAGGTCTTACATCCTTGGTGGATTCTCCCGACCTCTTTCACACATGTTAATGTCATCGAGCAGGGCTCTGACACACAACCTCGGATAGGTCTTACATCCTTGGTGGATTCTCCCGACCTCTTCCACACAGGTTAACGTCATCGAGCAGGGCTCTGACACACAACCTCAGATAGGTCTTACATCTCTTATAGATTCCTTTAACCTCTTTCATACAGGTTGTTGTCATCAAGAAAGGCTTTGGTGTACAACTTTGAATAGACCACACATCCTTAGAGGATCCTTCTAAACTTTTAAGCACAAGTTGGAAGACAAATACCTTAAACAAACATGAATAAAATTTACTCAGGACGAATAAATACACTAGAATATTTAAGTCATATAACAACAGAACAATAATCCACTACTAAGTCAAAGTAGATATCACACAACAGTACAAATATCAAGTACATCACAATTGCTAAAAAAGACAAACTAATACAAACAACAGGAACTAGAAAACCTACTCAACATCTACTATCTCATCATCCACATCAAGATCCAGAACCTTTTGAAGATCACTCTCTAGCTCATCACCAACAGAGCCTGAAGGAAAGTCATCTGAAGCCTGGCTAGGGGTCACCTCTTCAGCTGAAACTCCGGTCTTTCACTGCATCAGGCGAACCCCCTTAAAGAAGCCTCTAATAAATCCATCCTCAGTACACTGCTGCTCCAAACCCTTCACTTCTACATCATAGATGTGATCTCGGGCCGCCTCAACATGATCCTGAACGATAGTCTTGAAAGTTATGGACTTCTTAAAGTCTTCAATAACTCTTGAAGGTTCTAGGCTAGACAAGGCAGCTTCCTTCTCAGCTATAATGGCCTGGGACTTCTTATCCTTCGCCTCAAGCGACACTATCTTCTCTTCAGAAACTTTCTGCTCCTTCAAAAACTTGGCGATCGTCGCTTGAGCCTCCTCAAGATCTATATGATGCCGATCTTCCTGCCGATTCTGGAGAGATACAGAGCGCATTGTGTTGGCCAGCTCAGTCCTGTAATCGCTTAACTCATCTTCAAGCACCTTCACCTCCTTAACCTTCTGCTCATATTTCCGCTTGAACTCCCCCTGGAGATACTTAATCTTAACAAATTCACTGTTCCAATCATTAATTTTGATCCCAAGATGTGACAGCTGAAATAAAAAAGAAAAATTTATTTAGAAGTCACCTCAGAAGCAAATGAAATAAAAAATATTGAGAGATGTTACTCACCAAATTACTGGTCTTATTATGTCCGAGGCATTGATGATTCATGACATCCTCAGGGATATGCAGCTTGGCTGGGGAAGAGTCAGGTAGGGTCTTATCAGTGTTTGTCTCTTCCAACCTCTTCTTCTTCGAAACCTGGGGGTCGTCGCCTCTAGCCGGTCGTTTGGGAGCCGCTTTTGAAGCAGGGGCAGGAGGCTCAGGAATCCTAGATGTCGGCTTCAACTTCCTTGCATCAGACCTCCCAGTATGAAATGAAATCCCAACCTTGAATAAGAACTCTTCTTTAGTGTATTTGCTCATATGACGAACCTCAAATAGAAGATGTTCGAGATCGAAAACCTTCAAGATTCTCATTATGTCTTCCTCGCTGACATGCAGAGGGGATGGCAGATCCCTCATCTTCCCCCACTTCTCTATCAAGCCCCAATCATTCTTCACAAAAAAGAAGACATTGACCCAATTCTTTGAAGGATCGCGGGTACGCACATCCAACCATTTGGATCTAAAAGTCACACGCCCAGACGTATCGCTGGTGAGCTTACCCATCCGTGAAAGGTGCTCCGGGGTCATAGTAGCTCCCCGATCTCGAAAGAGAGCAATCAATCCCATAGCCACTGACATCGCTCTAAATGAAAGTTGGAATAGGTTCACACCGCACCTTTGTAAGACTTCAATCAGCTCAGTAGGAGGCGGAAAGCGTAAACCAGCTCGTAAGTGGGCCTCAGAAACGGTCACGTACCCGGAGGAGGAAGATTCGCCCGATCAGATTTCCTAGGGACCATCATCTTCACATCATTCGGGAAGTAATAATTCTTGCGAAAAAGGAATAGAAAGTCATTTGTAACAGTCGACGTTGTCTCATCCACCTCCCTATTTGGCCTCCGCTCTCCATCATGCGGTGCGACGGGGTCTCCCCGGATCGCAGAATCTCTCGGTGGGGGGCGATCACCTAACATTTCTCTTAAAGGGTGTAGAAGGAAAGAAGAGAATCTCCGGACTTCCTTGCCAAGA